TGTTTCTGTCACCCATAACCAAAGTCATGTCCTAAAAAACACATTGATATTTGATACATGCTTTTATATCGATTAGAATCACCGACCACCAATTCTAACTAGTTCGACATAGAGTGTGACACATCGCACTACAAATCGCACTACAAATGACGTGGTATATCTCGCCGATGCACTACTTGACATAGGCGAAGTATATAGCCCCGCTAAACATCAAGTAGCACTTAAGCCTTTATACAACATATTTGCTTGCGTTTAAAAGTCGACGAACTTGGCATCTATTTTTCGAAATTCGTTTTAAATGGTCGCTTAAACGTTCATTACTCGTGAAATTATCTTGGTGATTTCCTTCCATGTAATATAGAGACTTGGGATTAGTTTGAAGCTTATTGCGAGTACTAGACCGACAGAGATTTCAACTTAAAGTTTTTGCCTAACACTGCGGTTTTTTCTGCTGTGGAAACCATCAAAGGCAAACGTGAGGATAATTTGAACGAATGGATCATTGTCAAGATCTACATACATTTGTTCTTATTTCGGAGAGCCTGTGTGGTATTGTAGAGAAGAGGGAAAGAGCGTTTTCAAAGGAAGTGCACCCTTGGCTGTCTTGTCTTCAAGATCCAGATTCACCGGAACGCAACTTTAGTCTTGCTTGACATATGGGGATCAACGTCTGAAATCAGAGATTTTAAGAGACTGGAGTTTTCTTTCGCTGCTTTTACCATGTCCTTCAATTTTTTCTCTCCAAAAACGTGAAGAAGCGTCTCAGACAACGTGTTTTTGCGATATAACTTCCTTTCAAGGTCGAAATAAAAAGAAAGCAATGGATTGTTCAGCAACTCTGCCGAAGCTTTGTACTGTAATGTTGCGATTTCCTCGTCAAGCACAGACAAATCAGATTTTAGAGTCTGTCCGTGCTGTCGAGCGATCAGCATTTTTTCGGCTTTTGCTAACAATTCGTTCGTAGCCGTGTCGAGTTGTAATAGCCTAAAGATTGTACTGAAGGACATGGGATTTGATATCCACTTGGCCTCTTCCGCATTAACGATGTTGCTTTGGCGATCGCGACACAGGATAAACATGCTCAGCATTTTGAGGTATGCTCTATGCGCACTGGGATTCTTGAAAGATTCATGTAACATGCTCGTTGTGCTTTCGAAACCTGATTTCGAAGTAAGACTGGTAAAAGAGTGGACCATGCATTCGAGCCAACGGTTCAGCAACCTAGTGGCGTCGGCATCAAGTAGCAACGCTCTAAACGCTTGCTTCGGAGGTAATTCACTATTTGCCCATTGGTCCACAATCTCGCGCATTTTTTCAAAGTTGTTTGATTCGCTGCTGTGTTGGGCACTCAGGCTTTTAAACGTCTTGATCAACGGAGGAATAGAAAACTGGTTTGTCTCTATATATTCGTGGACAAACAATTCCCAAACGACCTGAGATGCCTCGGCATTCTGGAATTCCAGCACTATCGTATAAACCTTGCTCGGTTCGACTGAGCGTACACACCAAATATTCACAAATTCTTCAAGAGATCTCATGTCCGTCGAGGCCAAAACCTCAATCGTCTCGGTCACAGGAGATTTCGTCGGCATCTCCAGCATAATTGACTTGATGTAAAAAATCCAGCTTTGCCGAATTATATCATGCGTCTCAAGCATTGTCAAAACATTTTTCGATTCTGGAAGATCAATATTCTGTTTGAATTCGCGCCACTTAGCCAGGGAATTCTGAGTCATCCTACTACTTGGGTCGGTCAGTCTCATCATTTTTTGTTGAAGGTCCTTCGAACGTTTCTTATTGTTTTGAGTAAAGAACGCTCTTAATCCACTTCGAGAGTGCATGAACATGTCAAAAGCCCTCACCGGATCCTTTTGTTCGTTCATGAATTGGGTCAGCAATGCTTTGCCCTTCGTATTTCTGACATTGCTCGGTGAAGTGAGAACCTCCAGCAAATCACTCTCCGTCTGGAGAAGTCCTCGTACCCATTTTAATTCCGTCCTTTGTTTTTCCGACATTAGCTTTTCGTAAATCTGTGCGAAGCGAAGCCAAATAGGATACAGATCGTAGTCGAACAAGTTGTGAAGGTTC